AACTCGATGGCACAATCTTGATGTACATTGGTATGTTGACCTCCCCCTGGGCCCTGAGAAACATCAGATGCTGATTTTGACCTGTCTTCTAGACAGACATCTTGTCCACGAAGTTACCTCTCCGGTGCGTCTACAGTATCACAAGCTATGTGCTGAATATGCACAAGCTATGTCATCACGTAGCGATGAGCAATAATAGGCTGACTGAAATTCGGTATAATAGCAAGCGTTTGAGGGTCTCAAAAATGCAGGCCGCTCGGTCAGAAGGCCAGACTGCACTCTAGCGACCACCGATCACGTATGTGCTTTTTTTTTTCCCCAGCTGAACTTATTCAATCCAATCTTCTCTGTGCGCGCAATGGCGCCGTCCCAACTTCGGACCCGTCACTAACCGGCGCCCACTTCGCATAGAACGTCCCCACCAAATCCCGAAAAGGCATCAAGGATATCGCCACTTTTGTTGAAGAGGAGGACTCACGACTGCAATGTATGACACTCGAGGAGAATGTGAAGGATTTCGGCGTCACGTATTTCGGTCTCGGCGACAAGCGCCAGGGTATCGTCCACGTTATTGGACCCGAGCAAGGCTTCACTCTCCCCGGAACCACTCTCGTCTGCGGTGACAGCCATACCTCCACCCATGGCGCCTTCGGCTGCTTCGCCGCTGGTATCGGCACCAGTGAGGTCGAGCACGTCCTTGCGACCCAATGTCTCATTACGAAGAGGAATAAGAACATGAGAATACAAGTCGAGGGCGAGCTTGCGCCGGGTGTCAGTTCTAAGGATGTCGTCCTCCATGCTATTGGCCTGGTTGGCACAGCTGGCGGCACTGGGTCCGTTATCGAGTTCTGCGGCTCCGTCATTCGTAGCTTGAGTATGGAAGCTCGCATGTCCATCTGCAACATGTCGATTGAAGCTGGTGCCCGGGCAGGCCTTGTCGCTCCTGATGAAATCACATTCGAATACCTGAAGGGTAAGCCCCTTGCGCCTCGTCCCGATAGCCCTGAATGGGAGAAGGCCGTAACATACTGGAAAAGCCTCCAATCGGACCCTGGCGCCAAGTACGATGTTGATGTCCAAATCGATGCCAAGGACATTATTCCCACCGTCACCTGGGGTACGAGCCCTGAGGACGTTATCCCTATTACCGGAGTCGTACCCGACCCCGCGACTTTCAAGACTGACGCCAAGAAGAAGTCTGGTGAACGAATGTTGGAGTACATGGGTCTGACGCCCGGCACACCCATGGAAGATATCGCTGTTGACAAGGTCTTCATCGGATCTTGCACGAATTCGCGAATTGAAGATCTGCGGGCTGCCGCATCAGTGGTCAAGGGCAAGAAGAAGGCCGATAATGTGAAGCGTGCTATGATCGTCCCTGGTTCTGGACTTATCAAGGAGCAGGCTGAAGAAGAGGGCCTTGATAAGATCTTCTTGGATGCTGGCTTTGAGTGGAGAGAAGCTGGATGCAGTATGTGTCTCGGCATGAACCCGGATATTCTGTCACCGAAAGAGCGATGCGCTTCCACCAGCAACCGAAACTTCGAGGGTCGTCAAGGGTCACAAGGTCGCACACACTTGATGTCGCCGGTGATGGCTGCCGCCGCTGCTATTGTTGGAAAGCTAGCAGATGTCCGCAAGTTGACAGATTATAAGGCCAGCCCTCATATCGATGCCTTCAAGTCTACCCCGTCATCAGCCAAGCCCCAAGTTGACGAGAGTGTCGAGAGTGGTGATGAATCTGCCAAGGAGAAAATTGCGGATGAGCCTGAGAACACCTCTCCGCCCGCCTCGAGTCTAGTCTCGGAAGCTGCTGGCTCGCCAGGTCTGCCCAAGTTCACTGTCCACAAGGGTCTCGCGGCCCCTATGGACCGGACCAACGTCGACACTGATGCCATAATCCCCAAACAGTTCCTCAAGACGATCAAGCGAACTGGTCTTGGCAAGGCCTTGTTCAATGACTGGAGATTCAACGAGGATAAATCTCCGAAACCGGATTTCGAATTGAACCAGGAGCCCTGGACAAAGGCCAAGACCCTCGTCGTGACTGGCGCCAACTTTGGTTGTGGCAGTTCTCGAGAACATGCCCCATGGGCTTTGAACGACTTCGGTATCCGATGCATTATTGCCCCGTCATTCGCTGACATCTTCTTTAACAATACCTTCAAGAACGGTATGCTGCCTATCGCTATCACGAATTCCTCAGATCTCGAGAAGATCGCTGCAGAAGCCCGCGCGGGCAAGGAAATCGAGGTCGACCTACCAAATCAAGTAATTCGCGATGCTTCGGGTAATGAGATTTGCAAGTTCGATGTTGAGGAGTTCCGGAAACACTGCCTAATTAACGGCCTTGATGACATCGGCCTTACTCTCCAGCTCGAGGACAAGATCTCCGAGCACGAGAAGAAGATGTCGGAGAAGACCCCATGGGTCGACGGCACCGGCTACTTGAGGAGAAAAGGTGGCAAGCTCGGTGTTAAAGCCGCGCCAGTGCCCAAGACAAATCGGGGCGAGGACAAGGAAAACCCTATTGATTGGTGATCAAACATGTTTTAGGTGGCGAGGCAAAAGCTCGAGGACATTAAAATGGCGTTCGCAGGAACATTTGAAGGCAACAATGATTTTACTTAGCCAGTTGCCCGGGATGGAATGCATACTCACCGCATGGCTCATGATGATACGAGACAAATCTCATTGAGATAAAAGCATATTTAGTATAGTTTTTTGAGATGACATAGTTGCTGGTTTATGATTATACCAGATTACCATCTTCACGCTGCAATTCTAAATATTCCGTGTCTTGAAAGTAAGTCTTACCTGGCGACGTCGGTCGTCACCTTTCACAATATGGTGGTTTCCTCTTCAAAGCTCATCTGCGAGATTATGTGCCACCGGTTGCACAGGTACAAGATTACCAGTCAGAATGAGGCACGATGTACCAGTAGCTTTCCGGGCAGTAGGGAAGGCTCCTTTCGAGGTTTGTCATGGTTGCGTCACTGGTTGCTTCCCCAATGTCTACAGCGAATAACAGGTAGGTGTCGTGACCACGACCTCAGCACCTCGATTGCTTCAGGACTGTACCACGCACGCATCCTCTCATGAAGCCACCGCCGGTTTCAATTACTCAGAAGGGTTATCAGCTTAGCATACGAAGTTAGCATACGAAGAACGAGGCTCCTCTTACCATTATTCCGGGGTACGTCGCCGTGCTGGTCCCACACATCATACTGGTACCCCTATCCTTACTGCTCTAACCCCTCATCTCCCAAAACGGAGGGCTCCGAGCCACTTAGACTACAGTGACGCCGTCGCATCTGGCATCCGCCTCGCGGCAATGGACTCTCGGGATAGAGCTGAGGCTCTCGCGCGCGTAGACTGAGCGATGCGGCGCGTGTACGGGCCCTACGACCACACCTCGCCCGCCACCGCCTCCCTCTGGACGCCGCCGTCGGCGCCCGGGGCGGGCGGGCACCGGGGGCGGTATCTGTGGACGGACGCGTTCGGCGTGGTGAATTTCGTCACGTTGGCGCGGGAGACGGCGGGCTTGGGTCCCGGCGCGGATCGACGGGCGGGGACGCAGTCGGAAACGCGAGGGGAGGGGCAAGATGACGGGGGAGACGAGGCGCGGGGTTATCTGGCGCTGGCACGTACGCTGGCGGACACCGTCCACGAGACCTTGGGCCGGACCCGGGACGGCGGGGCGAGGCTGCCGGGTGCCAGTGACGAGAGGCCTTTGGGCGGGGGTTTGAGGATTGGGAAGGCGGAGGAGGGGGGTGCGGACGGGGATGGGCAGTACCATCATTACTTGACGCTTTGGATGTTTGCGCGTGAGTGTCTCGTCTTCGTTCATGCGGGAAGGACATCTGTGTCTTGTTCCGGGGTTCCTCGTCGGTTTACGGGACCGGATTGCGGGGTTCGGGGTACCGGTATAAATCGTCTATAAGATGAGCGTAAACTGACATGGTATTGCCTCTCAGTCAACCGACTCTCCGTCGCAACCGGGGAAGCGAAGTGGAACACGCTGGCGGCGCAGCTGGGGAAAGCCATACATCCTCATTTCATGACGAGGAAGGGAGGGCGAGAGAGCATGGTGTGGAAGATCAGTATGGACATGCAGCATGTATTAGTCGGCAGTAAGGGCAACCTGGACGACGCGACTGGATTGGTGGTTTTCGGGCTGGTCGAAGACCGGGCCAAAGCGCTCGGAGGGGAAGCAGATGACCTGAGAGACAAGATTGAAGCGTACAGACGTATCGTGGCGATTTCAAGTCGACGCCTATCGGGTGATGCGCTGGACTTGGGCATGGCACTATGGGTTAGCGGGTTTGACCGCGAGGCACCTTGGGCGAGGGAATTGGGGCAGCAGGGTATGACGATTGTGAGGGAGAAGTTCTTGGGTGGGTATCGGGCTTCGAACAGGGAGAAATCTGCTCACGGCAGACTTGCATTTCGCGATTTTGGCGCCTGCATGGGAATCAAGTGCCATGCTGGTGACGACAAGGCTCTGGTGGAAGAGGTCGATGCGGTGCTAGACATGTGGAACAAGGAGGTTACGAGAGGTGATGAAGACGGGGGGTTGAGCCCGATTAATGCTGTCATGTATGCTGCTGCGCGAATGCCTGGAGGTGAGTCCTTCATACATTATGCCGATGTCTTCAATATTGGGCCGATTTATGGTCGTCGGATAGCCTTGCTGACAGTAAGCCCGGTAGCATTCCGACCTGGTTATCCCGACCTACGCATGGGAGATTGAAGCTGAGCTCGCGAGCGCCTGCGAGATAGAGGGCTTGCTCGACTTGGTTAGGGTCCCGACAACAGACGTTGAGCTGGATCACAACAATCGTGTTGGTCAGAAGAAGAAAAAAAAAAAAAAAGAAACTTACCAGTTTGAACCAAGAGCAGGCGTGCTTTTCTATCTCTGACATATTAGCAGCAAGGTAGTATGGAAGGGGAAAAAGTATAGGAGCAACAACGCAAGACGAAGAAAAAAAAATAGTGCTAGGCGATGCTGGGATTCGAACCCAGGTACCCAGAATCAAAATCTGGTGACTTAACCACTGGTCGACATCGCCTATGATGAAATCAATCCATTGTCCAGGGTCAAATTATGAGCAAGTCCCGGACGCTCTTGTGCTGCCGAATTTGATGTTTGCACTGATCTAGGTAGCCGGGGAAAGAGCAATCGAGTGAAACTCAGCATTGAGGTAGCAAGTGCATTTGAGTGTGGAAGCGTGGACACCTAGGTACCAGATACCTACCGGTTCAAGTGTATCCAAGTGGAATGCGGGTGTGTTTGGCATCAAAGGAAGGATGCCCTCAAGTCAGTTGGTTGGCTACCGAGATCATTGCTATGGTTTCGGGCATCTCCAGGACAAAAAGATCTCGAGAAGTCGTTGCTCTTTGGTGCATCACGAGTCTTGATGTACCCCGAGGGGTCATAAGTAGACAACCACACCGGGCAATGAGTCATTTTTCTTCAACTTTGGTGGTCGACTGACGCGAGCCAGCCTCCTGTGATGGAAACCCATCGTGTCCAACGTTATGATAGGAATGCCATGTTGGTGACAGTGGACAAGAGCCGACAATGAAAGCAAGCTTGCCTGGGTAGCTAAGCATGTGAGTTAGTTGTACGAGGGTCGATGTACCCAGTGCTCGCTTTGGGACCAACAGCACTGCTTTCATTCCAGGTGACTCGACTTGGAATCCCACACAAAACAAGCTCGCGAACTACTTTGACTACAAAGCAGAAGTTGGTCATTGGCAAAAGTCATATGCTCCGCATAGCTCTTGGAAGTCCCTGTGTCGCTCGGATATGATGGGGGACTTCGGTGTCGTGCACCCATATGATTCTTTGTTCCTGGGCTGTTGGTCCCAGCTCCTCGAATTCGGTTATAGTTCCATGGTCAAGTGAGCCGATATTTCCTTTGTGGCTCGTATCAACGTCAGCGGACTGACCACACAGATTGAAGTAACTTTGACATTTCTGATCTAAATTCCGCATTGGCGACATCAAAGAAACAGTTTCAGTTGGCCACAAATCATGTTGGGTGTATCATTTGCTGCGTTGATGCTACGTACAGCAGGCTCCATTATTGGGTTTCCCCGGCCTAAAGTGCCTATATAATGTCAAGAAGCATCCTGAGCATTTCCTGCACAACTGACTCGCACTCCCATACTACCATCTTTTCTCAATACAAGAAGCGACATCACAATACAGTCGATCATTTCGTATCTAGATTCTCTTAGCGTCATCATGCCCTTCTTCTCCGGGGTGGACGTCACGATCAATGTCTACAGCTCTCAGCCCGTGGGAGTTTCATCCAGCAAGGAGCGCATTCTTATAGCAAAATATGTCCTCGAGTCCGAAATATCATGTGAAGTCTGTCAAAGGCTTTGGGGGAAAAGAGTATTGGATTTCGTCATGACGATCACTACAGACCACCCGATGGTCAAGTCGACTCCTGAGTTGAGCAAAAAAACCAAAAAAACTCTGGAGCGTCTGGAGAAACGGGACCCTCAACGATTCCGCGGTATTGTCAATAGCTGCACCTCTGAGGAGACCGAAATAGCCCCAGGAAGCGAAAATTGGAAGCGTTTCGAGAAACCATCGACCAATGGTCACGCACGCTGGACGAACTTGGAGGACCTCAGGGAGGACATATTGGACACATTACGAAAAGAACTAGTCCAAGGGACTGATGACCTTGAGTCCCAGACTTCAACCCCCGAAACAGAAAAGAAGAAGCTTAAGGAGGGAATACGGAAGCTCATGCCCAATATGGCGAGAAGGACGGCGGTGGAGGAAATGGAAAAGGCACTGAAAAAGCTCGGAACGGGCACGGGCACGGGCTGGACTAATTCTACGTATAAATGCATGGCAGATCAGTTAGTAGGACTACCCAGTCAGTAGTTTGTTGAACCGGTCAAGAAAAAGGCTGTTTTGCCTAACAATAAAGACATTGTTGACTCTTGGAATCACACTATCGAACTTATTGACGTATGAAAGCGAGCGAGCGTGGGAGGTGAAAGCATGGATAGAGCCTAGATTTCCGTCTGGCACCGAATACACCTTTCACATAGCACGTGTTTGGAGTTTTTCATTGCTGTAGGCATTCCTGATTCAAAAAGTATGGTCTCATAATGAGAACCTGATGCAATGGCGCCCTGCTTTAAAAAAAAAAGAGAAACATTTCCTCCCTCACGCTCAGGTTCACTCGAAAGCCGGGAAGACCCAGTCACTTGGAAGAAACGTCGAAAACCTGTTTCCACATCTTTCTTTCGAGCGAATTAAGCCTACAAACCAACATGCGCTGAAATGTACTTTTTGACCAGGCGACCAGCTGCCGGCCTCAACTTCGTTCATCAGCCGTTCGAGGTGTAAGGCCACCTCTGGCCTTGCTTATCGAGTCTTGGCCTGTCGCTATAGGTGCTGCAGGAATGCACACCCAGAGGGTAAAGACTGATCAAGGTTATGTGTCCTGAGCTGGCTTGTTTATTCGAGACGTAACATAGTATGATGCCCTACCTGGCCAGTGTGTCCATTTCTCTGCTCTCGTACGGTTTGGTCAGAGACATCGTGAGCTGAACTAGGTGGAGTAACATACAGATATACTTGATTCCACTGATATCTCTCAGCCTAAGTTTAGGATCATTTGCGCGGTGACTATTTGGCCTTTGATGGTTGATGATTAACTTGAGCTGTCTAAACTGATCGCAGTAAAAGCTTGCCTCGTTGACGGACTTCTTATGCGACACAAGATAACAACCAAGCAGACCAGAGTCTGCTACAGGATTGTTCGCCTTGGGCTCAGAGACACTCAACCGATTCTGATAACTTCACAACGGTAAGTTTGAGGAGTTATTGGCGAAACATTGCTAACCTGCACGCCTAGATTCCAACCTGCAAGTCAAGCCACCTTTGATATAAGAGAACCAACGTGACAATGCTTGCCACTGCTCATTTGGATCGATGAGCTCGATTTCATATCTCGCGATCAAAGAAGCAACGACCTTGTGCATATCCATCATGCTTAGATTCTTCCCCAAGCAGATCCTCGATCCAGCACCAAAAGTTAGGTCTGCCGCGTTCCAGGGACGCATGTGTGTCTGGTGATCAGCATCACTCTCATTGTCTCGACGCAGCCACCGCTCCGGCCGGAACTCATCAGCATCGTCACCATAGATGGCTTTGTTACGGCCTAATATGTATGGATTCATGCCTACGATGGTCCCAGCGGGTATAAATCTTCCATTGGGTAGCTTGAGTCCTGGCTCCGGCACGATGCGCTCCATGCTCATAGAGACCGAAGGATGCATGCGCATGGCTTCTCGACAGACCGCCTCGAGATATGGCAAGCTGCGTGCGATGCGGAACGGGTCCGGACACGAGGCGTCAATGCCCGCTGCCAGGACCTCGTCACCAAGACGCTTCCTTACGCGAGGGCTCCGGAGCGCGTAATAGAATAATGCTCGCACCACGATCGTCGTGGTATCAGCGTCGGCGATGAGGTTGAGTAGGAGAAAGTCAACAATGGTCAAGTCGTCTGCAACATTCGGATGTGTCTCCTTTGCGTCGATAACATGCTGCAGATAGTCCGGCTTCGACACATTAAAGTTGGGGTGTTCGTCCTTGAGTCGCGGACCAAGTGACCCGAGCGCAATGCCTGTGACGTTATATAAGTTCGAGGACCCAAGTCTGACGATGGGATTTCTGTCGAGGAAGTAGTCGAGCCAGGGCACCTGACTTATCATTCCAAGGTAGTGGATGGACTGATTGGCGATGTGAAGGGTGCCGTCGAAGTCGTAATCCTTTTCCATGTATCCAAATCGCTTGCTAAATTTGACGGCACTGACTGTGTCCCAGGCGTCTATCCATCATAGTCATCAATTTCGAATCTCTTTTTGAGGCATAGGTGTGAAGGTGAAAGTTCTCTTTTCTTACAATACCCAAGCCAAGACCCGAGGTCAAAGGTCTTATCTCTGTCAACAAATCGGTCATCCAGACATTCCAGTAACTCGCATATGACTTCGTCGATCAGAGATTCCTTGTCTAGCACTGACTTGGCCTTGTAATACCAGGCGATTGGCCGTTTCAGATGAGCGTGAGCAACATTATCAGTCTCACTGAATAGGTGATATCGTATCTTACCGTCAACTACGGCCGCGGTGTTCTTGTAGAAGTCGGACTTGGGAAACGCCTACTTTTAGCCACATTCCATCTGTACCGTACACTGTACGGATGAGCCCAGGGAAGTCCAGACCCAGTGAATTGGGCCAATACGGACGAGCGGCCCGTACTTCTCATGGAGTCTCTTCATTGTAGGCGCATAGTCGGCCTTAACCACGAGAAGGAGTCGCCAGAGATTAGTAAATCCTGAAGAAATCAGACTTGGGTCATCATTTATTAGCATGGACCTACTGGCAAAGGAAGGCCCCGGAAAATGCTTCAAGAGAGAAAAATGATATAGGATGAGATGCCAGCCGAGGAAAGATACAATCAGGCTGCCGAGTGTGATTCCGATGTCCGTTTTGTCTTATAATGCCATATCTGGTCGTCGGTCAATGAAATATCAGGCTGATGATGCCCGCCTGGTTGGATGGCTAGGAACAACTACTGGGCAGGATCATTTGCGGCCTAGGAAAAAGAGTTCCAGAGAAGAATCGCGGAGCTGGGCAACATTGATAAGGTATATAAGGCCCAGTTGCGAACAACAGCGGAGATGATCACAGATATGTTTCGACCAAAGCTGAGCCATGATATCTTGTCTTTGGCTTCTGAGGCAAGAACGATGTTTTCATATGACCTGTAGGCACGTACAGAGTTCCCAGTATAGGTATTCAAGGGAACGGCTTGGAACTTTATACCGGTAAATACCTAGGTAACGATTAGCTACCTACAGTAAGCTACCTACCTAAGAAGAGCCAAACAGCTGAAAGCAAAGATAACCAACAAGACGCCAACTCTTGACACCGAATATTTCATCACAGTAATGAGGAACATAGGTACGTTTCGAGGGTCAATATCAGATGCACGCGTAGAGATATATAGGCACCTATCTGAGGCCCTAGATGC